CCGCTGGTACCCGTTACCATCAAGTCCACTCAGCTTCACGTCCTCCTGTACCACATCAGCTCCATCTTCTCTAACCCGTGCCGCGCCCCTTTAGCCTCCTCTATCCGGCCTTGCAGAAGCTGCAACAATTGTAAAGTTTTTGGTTTACTTTTTTGTTAACGATCCAAACAACACGGCGGGATTTATTCAATGAAATAGTTGTATGTGCTGTAATTAAAACCTAACTGGAGTTCAACGACGGCTTGACTCGTTGTGGAGAGCGGCTCTCTTTCTCGCGACTCTTTATCTCTCGCGACTCTTTCTCGCGACTCTCTCTGTCTCGTGCGACGACGCAGTGGGCTGTGTGGAGGAGCCGTCCAGCTGTTTCGGTTTCACCCCCTCTGCTGTGGCGGGGTTGCGGGAGCTAACGAAGCGGGAGATTGTTTTTTGCGGATAAAATCGCACGTGAACGTTGACAAATTGCAGCTCCACACACTGAAGGGCTCTCTCTCTCACTCGCTACACGCCCCATTATAATAATCCAGGCATCGTGTCAGAGGTCACTCTGCAGATAACGGGAGACGAGGATCCGAGCCCTTGGCTGCTATGGAAACCCGGCGTTGCTATTGGCCGTGGTGAGAAGAGTGGGCGGACCTCGGCTCCGTGGCTCTCTCTCCGCTTTGCTTTGCTGCGAGTCCCGAAGGCGAAGCAAGCAGCCAACCCAGGGCCGCCGCGGGTGGCCCGGCCCTCACTCCTGCGCCCTTCACCCGCCGCTTGGGAGCACGTGCTGGCTGGTGGCATCAACGGCGGGTGGCGTTGTGGAGTCGGCGTCTTCGCTGTGACGTCACGCGTGACGTGCCGCGTGACGTGACGCGTGTCTTTGCTGGCGGTTGGCATGCATATATGTTGAACTTCTTTCGCACCGTACGTAGCCAACCACAATTATCGGAGGTGTGGGGAAGGACCACAAATTAAACACAAAACACAGCTCTAAAGAAATTAGTTTTCAATCTAGATTTAAAAGTGCATAGCTCCAGTGGCTTCCTAATACCGGAAGAAAGAGCGTTCCAGACGACCACAGGAGTGCATCTGTGGCAGAGACGGTCACCGCGCGATGTGGTGACCGTCTGTGTTCCATGAATCGCCAAAATCCGCTGCGAGGATGACCGGAGTTTGCTTGATGGTCGATGCTCCTTGACCAGATCAGCAACGAACCTGGCGACACGAGTTCGATTCTTGCTTACGACCAACATCGGTGACGATTATCTCAACTGGTTTTGGGCCTCCCCGAGGTCGACTCAGCCTTAAATGAGTACAGTACCTAGTACGATGTGGAAAAATTTTGCATTGGGAAGACAAAGACGGCCGGGCATGGTGTTGGCCACCCACCGTTCCCGCCTTAATAAGTGCTTGCTAGCATCACTTAACCCTACAGTCTGGTAAGGCTATAAGGAAGGACTTTGTCTTCATCATTACTTGGTGGTGCGTGCTTGTGCGGTGCCTTGAGCGCACGTGGGTTGGCTGGCAAAGCGAGAGCCCGGTGCAGGGTTCACACCACGGCCATACGTTATCAGGATTGTAGATGCTAGTCACCATCATCACCATGGGCTTCGGTGGTTTGATGAGGACACCTGGAGCCCACCGAAGAAACTTCGACTTCGAATCCACGCAAGGCATCACCTCCCTCACGGCAGCGCCGCCTTCGCTCGGCGCCCGAACCTTCACGCTTTCATCTTCTCTCCGAGACCGGCGAGAAGATGAAACACATCTTGAGATTCTCAAAGTGAAAAATTACGAGAGACGCTCGGAGTGATAGCTTACAATTTCATATACTCAAGCAACGACTGTGCACGATCGATATTGAACAAGCAACTGTTGTACCCGTGGTTCCACGACGGGTAGCGGAGTCGAGTCGAGAATGTAACGCCTGGAAAAAAGAGAAAGGGAATTGGAGAGGGAACAGTGGGAATGAGAGGAAAATCATGGGAAAGGAACGGAGCAACGGGAGCTTACCTAGAAACGACTGACGGGAGTCTTCATAATCTTTATCGAGGTCCTACCAAGTGTGTTGTTTTCTTCAGTTGGATGTGATGCTGCTGTTACTTTACGTAATCCCAACTGAGTAATTTTTCAGCATTGGAACATTTGGCTGATAGCGGTTACACTGAGTGTGGTGTTCTTAGCCACGGGAGAAGAGTGGAGAAGTCAGAGGAAAGCCATGCAGGACAGGCAGAAATGTACGAACGCCACACAGACATATCTATATGGGGCCTGTTTGCCAGTATCAAAGTCTGAAAAATAAGAATAAGTTTTACCTATAGCTGCTCAACCCGAGCTATAAATGCAATGTATTTACACTTGTTGCCTCTTGGCCTTCTCTGGTTTGACACTGGTGAGAGAGAGGAGGCCATCAATGTCTCTATTGTACGAGACAATGCATATATTTTTAGAGCATGTTTGTTGGCATATTTTGCCACAAGCACGTGTGGTTAATGCAGACTTGCTGCCTTGCAAAAGGTTTCTATTTGGTGTTTGAACATCTTCACACCTCCACACAGAAAGTTGCCGGAGGCTGGAGTTGAACGTAGGCCCTACCCAGTAAACATGGAACTCTGGTCCAACGTTGGCCCAACGCCGGTTCCAGCTGTCCATGTTGAGTGGACTCTCGCTGGGAGGCACCATCGTGCCACCGCTGGAGAGATGTCCTCACAGCGATGCCCTCTGATTGTGGACAGAGAAACCCCGGCGCTAGAGGTGTGGGTGGCATCGGAGGCCCCAGCGACTCGCGAACTCTCTCTCGCCCGCTCTCTCCTCCACGGCTTCCCGCTACCGCACCCCGCACACCAAATAATTCATGTTTCATTTCTTCCTTGCGGGTGAGCGATCGCCGGTCGCCGTGTTTATATTTTGCTTTGCTCCTGAGGTGCTGTAATTTAAAACCGTGCGCCGTGCGATGTGGAAGACGTTTGTACGACAGGGCAAAAAAGGAAAAGTATCATAAAAATATATTGTTCTGTTTATGCACGTGTGCGTGCAAGTGTGTGTTTAAGCTTATTTTCATGTCGCATTATCTCGAATGTCCAATGAATGTAATGTTTTGTTAATGGTTCCAACTGCAATGCTCATTACTTGCGTATAAATTGCACATCTGTCAGTGTCATTAATGCATTAAAACTAAATAAGGAAGCCGATTTCTGCTCCTTTCCACCGTGAGCCAAGACGCGAACGCGTGCACATTCCACCACCCTCGTGTGTGCACGCGGGCGGACGAGCCGCAAGGCTTCTGGTGAAACTCCGCTCGCTGCGGCTGTAGCTTTAGTCGCTGTTTTCTTATCCTTGCAAATCTCTTTGTTGCAACCCTTTTGTGCAAGAGAACCGCCCACAGAAGTGGATATCACAGAGCTACTTCTGAGATCCCTTTTCGAGTAGCCTCTGGTCCAGACAGTATGGGGCAAAACTGTCCCACCCACTCTGCCACCGGGAGTAATGTTCGCACGTTGACGGCCAAAACGGTGGAGGATCCATTCTGAGAGCTGGAATTCGGCCAAATTTAAGAGCAGAACCAAATTTAATGCGATGAAGGGGGGGGGGGGGGGTGCAGTCATTGGCAACCGGAGTGAGAATGTTAAACCACGACACTACACAGCAATTGGTGGAGCAATCTCGAATGTATTGCTTATTTAACTACATGGGAGTATAATAGGCTTAATACAGGAATAGTTAAAGTTGACTGAAAGTGGGCGTCATAGAAAAGAGTTTGGGGTGTATGTGTGTATGTGTGTATTGAATGTGTTTGAGAGGTGGTGTGAGTGTGTGGGGTACAGCTGGTGCATCTACCAGTTATCTCAGTCAGCCAACCCATGGCACCTGCCGGATCTGTCCCGAGACCTCCTCCTGTCAGCGAGCCTGTGACACTTCACGTGGCCTCAAAGTGCACCTAGCCTGGCACAGGCGCCGTGGTGACGCCACCGTCAATTCGTGGCGGGTCTTGGTTAGTGTGTCTCCCGGCAGTGAGCGTGGTGGTAACCACTCACCCCCTTTGTGATCCGTGTCATCCTTCATAGGTGCTCACTAATAGGGCTCGCCCCTACGGTCTGTCAAAGGCTATACGGGTGATCTTTGTACGTGTGTGTATGTGTGTGTACGTGTGTGTACGTGTGTGTACGTGTGTGTCTTGCATTGCCTAAGGGGTTGGTAAACCTTCCACAGTCACTGAGTATCCAGTTGACAACAGCAGTAAAGTGCACCTGAGGGTGCCACCCGGGTGTGAAGCGGCCACCTGAGTCACTCCACTCACAACAGCGGCACGCGTCGTCCCCGTGTGGACTGCGACATCACCAGGCTGCGAGGGAGGGCGAAAGCCTTCATCCAGCAGTGGATAGATCATTGGCCGATGATGACAACTCAGCAGGCTTTAGATACTTTGGGTAGCCTAAGAGTGCACCGAGCCTGGCACCCGCGTGGGAGTGGTGTCACCTTTCCCACGTGGTGGTCGTCGTTGACGTGCGTGTCCCCTCCTCTATCAGCTTGGCCTCAACAGGAGCTTGCTAACAGGAGCTTGCTAACAGGAGCTTGCTAACAGGAGCTTGCTAACAGCTCACGCTAAATGGCCGCATCATCATCATTATTATCGTCGTTGCTAATAACGGGGCAATTCCATTCTCACAATGAGGATGCGCATAATAAATCACGCGTTGTAAGAACTGATGGTGTTCGTGCCGCACGCACTACGTGTAATTAACTCGCGGCGTGATCCCTGCAGTCGCGAGAGGCCCTGCAAGGAGGGGTGACGTGGGCTGGTGGGAGAGTCGGCGTGCTCGCCTCCGCACGCCCGACAGTTCTCTCTTTGATGAACGCTATTCGCGAATGCACCACAGCATCGTGAGAGGTGGCCGTGGCTTGGAGAGGCCTTCATCCAGCAGTGGATTGACCACGGCCGGCGGTGACGATGAATGACGAGCGATGCGTTTGTGCTTGTTGAGCGTGGTCGTGCTGACGTCCGGTGCCGCGTCTCGTTCCAGGTTGCCTGTTCCAAGACGGCCTCTGCAGACGCGACGAGGCTTGCGTGGACGGTGAGTGGCTTCCCCTCGTCCCGTCCGCTGCTGGGCTCGGGGGATCAGGGGGGACGGGGCGGGGTGGGGGGCGATGTTCATTGAACGCACGCAGGGGAGATCGTGTCGAGATCACGGGAGGTGCGGGGTGGGGGGCCGGGGAAGACTCGCGCGCTTGCCTGCACGTGGCCGCTCTGATCACAGCCGCTGGCTTTGGGTCGCACCCCGGGGGTTAATTTCACACTGGCCTGACCTTCTGCAGAATTGAATAGGACCACCGACGATGCCTGGATTATCATTGAATGAAATTAGAATGCTAATGCTGCTGGAGTATGAAGCGGGCTTACATTTTTCACTGAATATTTTCGGGGTCACTTGTCGACTGGAGTCGGTGAGGGTGGCGCATGGCCCTGAGCAACAGCCGTAGCGACAGGTGTCGTGGATGTGGTGTGCCGGGATGCAGACATATTATCTCGGTCACCGAACCAGACAGACCTGGCTGAAATTAAGTCCAAGAAGAGAAATGCGAATGCAGCCGCGTTCCCGTTGTTGTACATTCTGCCAAACGTGGCTTCAAGAGAACGATTTGTGGCCGGTGCCAAAGGCGGTGAAGCACATTCGTGCACAAGCAGTGAATCACCACCACGATCACCATCTTCCATTCGTGGTGGTAATTATTATCCTAACAACCTTCTTCATTTCATTAAATAATTACATTTGCACAATCTCATATCGTCATTCTAAATGTCAATTTCGGACGACACGTCACGTGCTTTCATCTGCAACGAGCGGTCATTTTAGACTTTCGTGGAGCTGCGGTCCCGCTCGCTCGCTCGCTCTCTCTCCACGACGGATAGAAGCGAGCCGGCGTTCACTCTGCGGAAAATCTGTCCCGCTCGAGAGACTTTCTCGCTTCCATAAGAACGTGGAAGTTTCCGCCGCTGTCTCCCAGGGGCCGAGCGAGCCCGCGGCGAGGCCCCCCCCCCCCGACCCCCCCCCACCCCGCTTGCCCCGTCGATGCGGCCGCGACTCTTGTGACCACTGGGGTCGATGTCGTCGCTCCGCCTCGAGCCCCCGGGTGAGTCACGGCGCAGCTGAGTGGATTTCCCTGTCGCTATCGGGACGACGATCCCAATGGCAAGCGATGAATCCAATTGCCGCCGCCGGCGCAACCGTCATCCTCGTCCGTGGACTCGTGCTATTGGCATCTGGTCGCATTCAACTCGTCTGGTCAAAGCAAGTTCGCTTTTTTTTACTTTTAGGTCATCAAACAAGCTCAAAACCAAATAAATACAGCATTCATTTTCTTTATAAAAGTTTTGGCTTTGTGGAAAACCGCACAGCCACCGTTAACTCGGGCAGCTGATATTTGAAGTGCACACGCGCACAGCGACGCTGTAAGACAAAGATCCCCCGTATCGCCTTAACAGACGTTTTGGCAAGTGCTGTTGGCGAGCACCTATGAAGGCCGGTACAGCACAAGAGGGGGTGGAAATCTAACACCACGCCCAGTGCTGATATCTTACACACCGCACCAGGTACTCATTTAAGGCTGAGTCTACTTAGGGAACGAGTTTAAATATTTGGTACTGTTTATGGTCGTGAGCGGGAATCAAACTCAGCTTGCCGGGTCCGTAGCGCAGTGCGTTGACCTCTGTACCACCGCTCCGCACACATTGCACGAAGACAAAGACACACACTCCCACACACACCCCACACACCCCCCCACACACACCCCCACACACACCTTGCGTGCCCTCGCGATGAGTTACGCGACGCACGAGGAAGTTCTGCTCGTCAGCTCTCGCTTCCGCAGCATCCGTGCCTCTCTCCGGGTGCCACATCCGGCAAGCCCGTGGCTGAGTGTCCGTATCCCGGCGTGAACCAGGGGGCGGTTAAGTGGGTGGCTGGAGCGGGGGGCTGGGGGAGGAGGAACTGGTGGGAGCGAGGATATTGCGAGAGGCTTCGGAAGGCTAGGGGGCAGGAGGAAGGGGTGGGGGGGTAATTTGCCATTCCTCCGAGGAGCAGCAGCTGAGGTTGTTGGCTGTCTGTACACAGCACGTGTATACCCAGTCAGCGGTGGGCGTGGGGACTGTGGGGTGCGTGAGCCGGGGGGTGGCGGTGGGGGAGGTGAGAGGGGGGGGGGGGATCTGTCGCCCGCAGTAACATTTACGGAATCCACTTGGAGGATTCGATTGCAATATGGGATTGGTAAGCGGATTAGGCGAGGAGTGGTGTATTAGATTGCTCGTTATGGAAGGGTGTTCTCCGCAATTAAAATAATCCAATTTTGAAATGGAAGCCAATATTGAGTTTTTATTTCGTTGCGTTTTATTTTTATTTATAGAAGCGAGTTTCTGCACTGTACTATAATGCGCAGCGTCTATTCATCGTCTCCCATGCACAAGTGGACGTGTGAATGCGTCTTGTTGTTACTGTTATCATTATTTTTGATATTCCAGATTTTCTTCTAGATATTGACTGGAAGTAAAACAAAACTACTCTTTGTTTCCGGTACAACTAATGCATATTTATGTATAGCCCTTTGCTGTGTAAATCGAAGTGTATGTGCGTGTGTGCATACTTCATGATGTGGGTCAGTGTAGGTTGGTGAAGGTCAGGGGCGGTGTGACCCACGGCCAGTTCCGCACTCGCCACTGATGTTAGTCGTGGCTGTGAATTCAATCTGAGTTCACCGGGTTCATAGCACAAAGCACGACACCACCTTCCACCCCACGCACTGCAACACCAACTATTAATAACCTTTATGAAATAGTAAAATAACAACGAAGAACATATTCCATTCGCACGGACAGAAAGGCCATAAAAAAACATTATATTCTCTAGGGGCCAGATGCACATCTTGAACGAAAAAGATCACAGCACAACGGTGGAGGAGGAGGATGGCCCCTGGGGCTGCGAGACTGAGATTGGGCGCCGCGGTGTGCGCGGCTTTGACCCGGCGCTACGGAGGCAAGGGTTGGTGGAGCACGTCGAGATTCGGGGGGGAAAAACCCACAGCTCATGCACTGCGAGGTGGTCAATGGCAGCGCTGAATCTGGGGTATTGAAACTGGCCGGCAGAGATGTTCAAATGTTCTCCTCTCGAATGCTCGGGGTTTTCTCCGGGCACTTTTTTGCCTTCCCACAAGAAACAAACCACGGATTGCCCAAAACATCCCAACGCAGGACCATCATGAAGGACATCATTGACACGAGGTGAGGCTTTTCTGGCAATTCAAATCATGGGATGGGTTTCTTAAGCTGCCCCCCCCCCCCGCACGTCTGTGTCCACGCAGCGAAACACACCAGCGTGTCGATTGGCAGGTCGCGTGCACTGGGGTCAAGTGTGGGTCTTGTACTCCCACCTATTATAAGACACCGGGTGGGCATTGAAGAGTAGGCCAAGTACCCTCTGGACGTTCCCTCTCGTGAAGGGCCCTCTGGCAGCAGTGGCGTGAGAAATAAGTTGCAGGGTTGAACCTGTAGCTCTCACCATTGTAGTGATTTTGAACTGGACACAATCTCGGTGTGATCCGTCCCATCGTTGGGAATGATGGAGACTGGGGCGTTTACACGAAACATTGGATACAATGGGAAAATTCACCAGCAATGAATCGGGCAAGGGGCAGCCCCGCGCCCGCGTGCTCACATCCCTGCTAGCTGAAGAACCTCCACTAGAGCTCCCACGGGAGGGTAATTCGGCCTCCTCTTCCATCCTGGCCACACGTCGTGAAAGAGGTGGGGAGCGAGTTCCCACATTTGACTCCACCGCCACACGCGGTGGAGCCATTTTTCACCGTCGGCTCGAGGGACGCGGCGTGCGCGTTTCCGCTGCCGCGCCGGGAGGTCGAGCTGAACCGGCGACTCTGGACCCCCACGCCCAGTGCGCTGCTGAACGTGACCCCCACGGCAGCGCCCCCCCCCCCCCGCCCCCTTCGTTGTTCAGGGGCGTCACGTGGTGTTCTCCCACTCGTGTGAAATTGTCCCTCTGCCAACGAGGAGGAGGGAAGCACGAACGCGTAAGAGACGCGCCACTGGGTGATGGTTCCCTGCTGGAGTCGGGGGCGGTCAGCCCCGTGGCTCGTGCAGCCCTCTCGGTGGGGCTGCTCAGCGGCGCGAGGGCCACTCGGGATCGCTGTCAGTCGGGGAGTTGTGTTCATGCTCCAGCGGCTTCGCTCTGGGTACTCCGCGTGAGCGCACACGATCACGACTTGGGTCGCGTACATAGCAAGACAAAGCCCTCCGTGTAGGCCACACGTGCTGTTGGGGCAAGTGCTGTTCGCGAGCACAGATGAAGGCCGACACGGCGCACGAGGGGTGGCTGGCAGCACGTTCGGTCGCCTCTGTTGCCCCTGGTGGTGATGTCGGCATGAATGTCAAACTTCTCTCGCAGCCAACCGTGCTAATCGGTGCGGGGAAGGGAAAACCTAAACACAAAAATAAGTTATGAAGAAAAGCGTTTAAAAGTCCATATAATGTTTACACTTTTCACCAGGGACTTGTTTAATGCTGAGTCGACCTAGGGGCGGCCCAACGTTGACCGTGAGCAGGCATCGAATTGGGGTCGCTGGGTTCGTCACGCTGTGCGCTAACCACGATGCAGGATGATCGCTCCCCGCCGAATGGAACCCCAATGATTATTGCGCACGATTGAATGTATGAGGAGCGGTAGCGTCGCGGTTGATGAATCGATGCGTCGCCACATCCCTATGGCATGTCTCTCTCATCGCTGAAAACCATCAGATTTCGAACGCTCGTCATCTGTCCGTACATCCACCATACAAACAACGCGTAGCCTCACAGACCGTTGGGGGCCAGTGTTGTTCGTGAGCGCCGATTCAGGCGAGAATGAGATTCGGTGGTGAGCACCACATCTCGTGATGTCCACACAGTGCATCAGATACTCGTTGAAGGATTGGGTTGACCTTGGGGAGGCCCAGGACCTGTTCAGATGCTGTACAATATTCACTACGAATCTCATCCGTGGCCGGGAATTGAACTCAGGTCGCTGGAATCGTC